GAGATGAAGTCAAGGCTGGCTCTTACTCTCCTGCAGCTGTCACTTCCAAACCCTTCGCGAACACTGCACACACAGTCTCCGCGGGCACATACAGGGAGGGCTTGTTTCCCAGTCTCTGAAAGCTGCCTGGCTTGTGCATTAGCCCTGCTCCGGGGGGAGGCACCACCAGCCCCATCAGGCACATGACAAATGGGGTCACGGTGTCGCAACTGGCCCCAGGACCCAGGGCAGGGGGACCGGGCCCCGGGCTCCACTGCGCAGGTGAGCTCACGGGCTGGGCACAACAGGAGAACCACCACTGAACACATCCCCTGGCACCTCGAGCCCCATTGGCCTCTGCAGAGGGAAGGCCCAAAGAACACCTGTGATTTGGGCAGAAGGAAGGTGGCCCGGAATTGAAGTGAGCGTTCAGAGCACCAGGGCCAAAAATGCGATGGATTCCCCAAATCTCAGCACCCCGCTGCCCTGCTCGGTCATAAGGAGGAAGACATGGCAGTGAGAGCCGTCAGCTTCCAGAACCTTCTGCGATCTGACAGGTGGACAGACACCACCCAACTACGCTTGATCAGGGCATGTCCCCATGACCCACCAGCTGGGCTGGGCCACTGGGGATTGCAGCTTCTGGGGAGGGAAGGATGCGTTCACAACACAGCGCTCGCAAAAAAGTTTCCTGTCTTTTCAGTTCTTCCTCGGGGTGGGACTCCTGCTCTAGCACTTACCTGCCCTGGGATTTGGGGCAAGGCATTCAACCTCTCTGAACCTGTTTCCCCAACTGAAAAATGGAGGTAACCATACCCAGAGCAGTAAGTTGTTTTGATAACTTATAAGTAGATCAAGTGTGCCCCATGAAGACTGGGGGGAATATGAGGGGCTGTCCCAGGAGGGTTCTGTAGCAAAGGGGAGTGCGGAAACAGCTTATGTATGGCCTTTGATGATGTTTGTGTTCATGTAAGTTCGGGAAGTGTGTGCTCACGGCACATTGTAGTTTTTTTCTGACTTTTTAAAATTAAAATGATCGCGTTAGTTTAGCCTCGAATATGGAGGTGTGGCAGGTGGTGTCCCAATGAGAGTCACACAGGTGTGGCAGCCCAGAGTGAGCTGTCTTCCCTGCCCAGGTGCCTAATGCTGACCTTGGCTGGGGCACTTCTACCAGCCATAAAACCAGCAGGTTGGTCCAGGTGACCCGAGGTTCCTCCCAGCTCAAACATTTCAGGATTTTCTGATTTATGAGCATAAATCATAAAGCATAAAGCATAAAGCATTACACCGAGACCTTAAAAACTCCTGTTGATAACCTGAGATTGCCGTGTTCACACCATCTTCCGGCTGTTATGACTTCAGAAGAGGGAGATGATTTCTCCAGAAGAAGAAGCCATGTGTCTGTCTCACACTAGGATTTGTGTTTGTTTTACTTCTTAAATCCAGCCAGATTAACATCTGAATCCATGGCAAGAGTCTGATTTCCTAAGAGGGCTTTGTTTCATATTTCATATTACCTTTTAATTTTATTTGCATGTAAGATTTGATATGTAAAATGGAATATATGCATGTGTGTGTGTGTGGAAACAGAGATTTGTAAATGATGAAACATAAAAATATTTTAAAATAGCACCCATGAGCTAGAAGAAACAGAACATAATGGGTGCCACCGGGGGTGGAGGTGGCTCCTCCCTGACCCTGTGCCCTCTTCCCCACCGAAGATAACCACCCCGATTTGGGGTTACCATTCCCTTGCCTTTTATAAAACCTGCTTAAATCTGTGGAACAGGATCTAAGTAGAGAGGCGCACAGGAAACATACATATCCTTACAGATACTTACAGGGTGAATTCCTTTGTCGCAGACCCCATGACCCTCCCAATCCCCTCTTACCCCCCATACACCCCCACAATGGTCATCTCTGACTCATTAAAGGTGCTCACTTCCCCCATTTTGCCATTGCTTTTTACTTCCCATGTATGCAACGCTTAACAACGCCTGGTTAGTGTTTGCGTTTTGAGCTTCATAATTAGCAGCTCTCTGCCCAGCCTTTCAAAGCCATTTCGGAGATGCTAGGATTCCCTGCCCAGAGTCTGCAGCCTAGAAATCCAGGCAAGAGGAGCACCCCGCAGCACATTGTTACAGTTACATTAGGAGGATTAGTAATAATAAAACCACCGTAACTCCTCCTATGATGTGTCCCCAGCCTGCAGGGCATTCTGCTGAGCCTTGTCCCCCATTGTCTCATTTATCCCCCACAGCAACCCCAGAGGGAGGTGTGGGGGCCTCTTATCTCTATTTTAGAGATGACCAAACTGAGGCTTTGGCTGCTGGGACGGTCCCCCAGCTGCTTCCTAGCTGCTCAGCCCCGTCCCCAAATCCTGAGGCAAATCTCCATCCCCTGGCGGGGCGGAGAGGGTCAGCAGACAATTCCAGAACTTCCATCTCCTTCTCCCAGGTTCCTCTCTCGGCCCTGTTGAGCTACGTTTCGATGTTACAGGGAGAAAAAGTCCAGAATCCATTCTTTTCCAGGAAATACCAATGTCTTAGATAACCAGGATCCTGCCTCGTCAATACTGTTCTCCTGAAGATCAGCGGATAACATGGTGCTTCTATCCTCTGAGACAGACACGCAGCCGGGTGTAACGAAGAGCAGCAAGTCAAAAGCCTGGAGGTCAAATCCTGACTCTGCGGCTCCTGGCCTCTGCATCCGTCTCCTCATCTGTAAATGGGTCAGCAGCGGCAGCATTGGCTGCCGTCAGGGCCGTAGGAGAGACAGGAAATGCTTCCTAAGAGCCCACAAACACATGGGGTCCCCTGGCAGGCCCCTCTCAAATCTCTCTGCCTGGGTCGAAGATCATCTTTCAGGGGTGCAAAGGCTCCAGGGCCACCTGCCACTGGACAGACATGGGGATTCAAGGCAGAGAGGAAAGGCCAGAGCTGCGCTGGGCAGGGGGAACTCAGGTGTCCCCCACCTACCGCCCCTGGCCCCATCACCATAAACTATGATAGCTGCTTGCATGTGCTGTGTCTGGCCCCGTATAAAACGCTCTTCATGGAGCGTCTCATTTAATGCTCACAGCACCCAAGATGGGGGCACTACGGTTACCCCCCCTCTCGTGTGGAAGAAGATCCAAGCTCTGAAAGCTGAAGTGACTTTTGCACAGCCAAGGCTGGCCTGGACCCAGGTGGTCGAACGTGGCCACCCCCATTCTTAACAGCTGGGCAACACGGGAGGCCCCACCGCCCTCTTGGCTCTCAGGGGCTCCAGGGTGTTTAGGGGGGTTGCGCTGGACCTGTCCAGTCTTACCTCCCCAGAGCGGAGGTCACCCTGCAGCTAAGCCAGGGTCCCCCAACTGTCCCGGCCCCAGGTTTTGGCATCACGAGGCCCAGCGGCCACCCAGGCAAGGACAGGTCTGCAGTGGTTATAGATCATGCAAAGCAGCTGGGAGAGAGGGTTGGTTGTTCCCACGGAGACTGAAGGAGTTCAAACTCACCCCGAAGCGGGGTGCCTGCAGGGGGCCAGCCTGCACCCTGAGGCAGAAACCAGAGCCTGGATTCTCAATCCTCCCCGCAGGGCCACCAGCAAATCCTCAGGCCTCCTCAGGACCCCCAGCAAGACAGGAGTTCCAGAAATAAAGCCTTCCCAGCCCACTCCCCCACTCCAGCTGCCCTCAGAGGGGCCTCCCTAGCTGGAAACGGCGCCCCGGGGCCAGCAGGCTTGGCACAGCTGTGACTGTCGGCAGCCCAGTGCGGTCCTGCTTGAGGAATGTGCAGACCCACACGTGTCAGAGAGCCTCGCTGGGGCACGGTTACAGGAAACAGAGCAAAACAACCCATTGGCACCAGCCTGTCCCTCCCGCCTCCCAGCTCCTGACCCCTGGGGGCAGTTGGCTCTGCAGGAGGCAGGGCCTGACCCTTTGAGAGAGCCAGCTTCTGTTCTTGGTTGTGCCGCTCTGGGCAAATCACTCCCCGTCTCGGGGCCTGCTTTCTCTCTTCTTGGTGGATGAAGGAGGCTGTCCCGCCAAGCTCAGAAGGGCAGTGATTTTGTGACATGCTCCCTTTTCTGGGAGGACCGTCTCTTTTCCCCACTGTCTCCTCCTGCCCTCTCTCACCTGGGATGGGGCATGCTTCCTGGGCATGTCAGGCTCCTCCACTGGAGCCAGGAGGAAGTCCCAGGGCAGCCCTGGGCCAGAGCTTTTGGGCCAAAGTGAAGAAATAACATTGATTATCACCCCACTGCAGCCCTATAGTTTTGAAGCAGAGGTCGGCTGCGCAGGGTGGGGCACTCACGGGCTCCTAGGTTGACCATTGGGTTACCTCCACCAGGTCCCCTGTCTAGAGTCAAGATCTCAAGACCCTAAGGGGAGTCAGCATCCATCTGGGGCTGGCTCAGGTCCTGCAAGAGATCTTGGGCCTCCCTACGCCCTCCTTGAGAGTTGCGGAATGAGGCTCAGAGAGGCCGAGGGATTTGCCCAGGGCTGCACAGCCAGGAGGCGTCTGAACGAAACCGAAGCTGCCTGGGGCGACCTCCCCCGCCCAGCGCGCGGGCTCTGGGCTGTCGCGGGCACTCCGAGGCGAGCGCGTGGTCGCCAGGACCGGGTATTCCCGCCCGCGTTTACTGCCCAGGCCCGGGACACGCGGCGGCGCCGGCCCGCGGTGACAGGTCCTCTGGCCCCAAGCAGAGGCTGAGCGAAGATTGGAGGCGGCGCCCGCCCAGCCGGGGACGCGCTGCCCAGGGCTTAGGGGCTTTTTCTGGGGGGCCGCGCCTCCAGGCTTGGGGAGCAGAAAGGCTCCGGGACTTCGCAGGCGGAAGGGAACGGTTGGGTTTAAACTAAAAATACCCGCCCGCCCGCCCGCAGCTGTCACGCCAGGGCCCCCGCCCCCGCGCCGGGCGCGCCTCCCCGGGTCCCCTCGACTTTCGGCGACCCATACCCCTGGGGGACGCGTCGGGGCTGGGCCGGGGGCTGCGGCCCCGACCCTCACGGCCCCAGCTCGGCCTCCCGGTCCCGCGCCACTTACCCGGTCCCGAGCTTGCAGGAGCACGGCGCCGCGGGCTGCTCCGGCCCAGCCGCCCTCCTCCCTGCGTCCCCGGCGGCTCCCGAGC